CAAAAAACAAGACACATTAACTATTTCTAACAGTTCTAGAAAAATACCCTTATTATCAGCATGTTTCCTTCTGTTTTCTATACCCACTCTTGTCATACATCACAGGAATTAGGACTAATGGGAACAAAATCCCTGCCATGTTTCTTTAGAGCTCTTCTCCTCTGACAATGGTATTTTCCCCCATTCTCTCCACTTTCACACAAACACCTCACCATTCCCCAGCCAACTGGGGAACAGTCTGCCTCCAGAGACTGTTATTTTGGATTTCGTTGACCTTTGGTAGGGCAGCTCTGTTTCTGATTGCTCTCCTGGTTGTATTCTCCAGGGAACGTGGCTTTTATAGTATGAATTTTGAAAGATTCTAGGGAAGAATTTCTGTCACTCAAGAGCCCTGTATCTGTTTGAAGTGTTTGGGTTTATCAGTGTCAATTACAAAACAGAAGCAGTCTATATGTGAGGAAATATTTCTGTCTGTTGTTTGTAAGCTATTTTCACTTTGGCTGTAGCTGTCAAGGGGGATTTCACAGCCATCCACATTACGTCTCACCCCTGTAGCTGATATCAGAACCACCTTTGCTGCTTGAATATAAAAAAGACTCAAGGAGACACATTATCTTGTAAAGGAAAAGAACAAAAAATATATTTCTAGAACCAACCTTGAGCTCTGCATCAAATAACATCTGTGTTTAAAAAGAAACATGGGGTCGTGATGTTAATGAATTATTGTTATTTCCTAGAGGCACAGATGAAGTGTTTGGCTTCGTGCAAATCAGAAGTCTCAAAACAGTCCTGTCCCATTAGCACAGCACATCAAACACCACAAGCTGATTTTTGGTTCAGCTGAAGGCTGAGGATTTACACCACTAACAACAGCCACGCATCTGGTCACGTACAGTCAGGAAATGAACAACTCTGCATGAACCGAAGAGAGCGAGGGTGCAATAAAAACATATCCTGCAAAGGGATCTGTGAGGGGAAATGGGAGGAGAGCTCAGCTTGCAGGAGAAGAACAAAGCCTGTCTCTCTCCAGACTCCACTCTTCAGCAAAATACCACACAGGAAAGGCCCTGCAATCCAAAACACCACTGAGAAGATATTTCAGTCTGTGTGAAGGTCAACACCCAGGGTGCTGAGAGGGCACCAAGAGGTGCATCGTGACAAAGAGGCCTGGCCTCCCTGCAGAGCCTGGGCTTGGATCTCAGAAGATGCTGATGAAGGCACTGTGCTTGTACCATCATCCAAACACTTACAGTAAGTAAGTAGTCAAGGCAATATCCACTTCTGAAGTAAGAAACGCCACATTTTTATTTGACTTTGCCATGTGCAGATTGCGCATTTGTTTCCGTAACCACAGACAGCTTTTGGAAGCAGAATTAAGCAGCAAGCAAGCCCCGAAGGTCCAGGAGAGGATACAAGAGTGTCTCTTCATGTTCCTGATTTCCCCAAAGGAAAACAGAGAAATGAAAGCTGCGAGATTTCTTTAACACGTTATAATGGGGTGAGAAGGAGCTTAAATTCTGCTGTGGGGGTTGGTCATTTTTTTTGCCCTACAGGACTTCACAGTTGCCCACATGAAGCAGGAAAAAAGCTTCACCAACATGACTGGAAAGTATGTTTCCAGAAGGAAAAGCGGGACAAGTAGTAAATGCAACTACTCTTGCTAAAAGAGCATTGCATGGTGACATTTTGGTGACTTTGGCTGTTTTGGTGGCATAGTACATCTAGTGATGTCATGAAAGTGACCTTCGTGTTTGCAGAGAGATGTACACACTATAAGATATGTGCCTACTGATATCTTGGCCACCTGCTGTCTTGCTTTATCTGATTAATATTTCATTGCTTTTTCATGTAATCGGCATATCCATTCCCATAGTTAATTAAAATCCAAAGTCTTAAATTGTATGGATATCTGCACACACCTGGCATACATGGTATACATGGACATGTTTTATTCATACGTTTTTAGAACTAGAACTAGAATTATTTTAAAGTAATCAGCCACGAAGGAGGAGCACTAAATCAGATCATAAGCAAACATGGTAAAACATAGAATGGATTATTTCTTCTCTCATTTTACCAATAAGTGGCAAAAAACTTCGGAGTGTTTGGCAGTGCTCCATTTCCTTTACTTCACAACTGTGTGAAATGAGAGAGGTATTTTGTAATAATGCAGGTATACTACATCTAAAAACAAATACAGCATTATCTCTCCTTCACCTAGGAGAAAATGAGCAAAGTTAAACTCACATCTTCAGAGCAATGCTGACAGATCATTGAACACATGCAGACAGGAGGGGTGCTTGGGTCACTTGGGCTAATGGTGCTTTTTGTGGAGATGATTCAAAGTGCTCCAAGTCAATAACCACCTAATTGGCCTCGGTGGACTTCAGATCTCGGCTTCCCGTGACAAAGGTATGAACAAAGGTAAGCTTAAACTTATCTGAGAACTTCAAGTTTATCCCTAAGTTGTAGTAAAGAAAGTGGTATAAAGTGGTACTTCCTTGTAATTACAGTGATTTCTTGCTGTTGACAAGTGAGGTGGTATACTGCTCCTCAGACATGGCTGAGATGCATACTTCTATTTGAGAAATCAGAAGTCAGAACAGAATTAGGTGCTTGAAGTCTCCTGACAGGAAAAGACAAAAGAAGATAAGAAACATTGCACACAGCAGCAAAAACAGACCGTGAATATTTAAAGCAGGTATTTACTGTAACTGTAAGAGAGGAAATCCTTGAAATAACTTTCAAGAGGCTCAGCCTTACAACTGAATCAAAGGCTAACTCTATTTCCATTTTCTTTAGAACCCTGGATGAATATTTTAAATACAAGCTCAATTTTCATGTTGGGATTTAGCCTCTGCATGTGAGCACATCTGCTGGGTGATCCACTGATGCTACCTGCACTCCTAAGGGAAGTTCATTTCCCCGCTGAAGGATCAGGAGGAGTACTGCAAACCTGGACAGGGTTTCTCATCTTGAAGCAGAAGATAGGAAGAGTACGTTCATGTTGTGAAATGCAGCATCACCCAGCATCGTGCTGCAGCAGGGAGAGGGCAGTGGTCCCTCTGATGTCCCTTATTCTCCATGCAAAGAGCAGCAGACGGTGCTGATCAAATCCAGCCTTGCTGACCTTGCACCAACATGGATCTGGAGCAGCCACATGGTGAGAGCAGTAGAAAAGAAGCTTAAAATCTGCTCCAATTGTTTCCCAGCAGGTGTTTACTTCCTCCCAGCTGACAGGCATGACTTGCTGTACAAACACACACACCCCTTCGTGGACAAAGTCAGACAAGCAAACCTCCAGCAGCAATTTAAGTTTGTGTGACTTTGCTCTTAGACACTTTAAGAACAATTATATGGCAGGTAACTGCCTCTCACCTGGGAAGAGGCAACAAAGGGCTGGGAGTTCAAAGACCTGCCAGAGTCATTTATTCAGTTGTGATAATAAACAGAGTGTAAATTACAACAGACTGTGAAACAGAATTGCTATTAGATTTAACAACAGATGGGTAATTGTTCCCAAATCCCGACAATACTGAAATGTGCACTTCAATGATTTCAACCCCATGTGAAGTGACTGGGCTCGGACTTGGAGCCTCCAGTGTGGATTTAGATACAAGCGCAGAAACCAGGGACATCCCTGAGCAGTGGCACCAGAGAGTAGGAACACTGCCCCTCTGCCTTTCTGGTCCTGTCCTATGGGGGACCCACAGTTCCTTTTGCCTCATGAGCGTTGCGTCCCACCTACAGCATCACTGGGAAGACAGTTTGAGCTAGCTGTAAAAAGGGGATTGATGAACTTAAAAGCAGGAAAGAAATAGAAAAAGAGAGGAAGAAAATATTGTCCAGCAGTAATAACAGCATGCACCAGAGGGAACAAGATCCCTGCTTGGCAACATCCCTTCCTGTGATCCAGGATGAAAAAAAGGACTGCACTGTACTGAGATGGATGGTTGGCTGTATAGGGTGACGAGCTGCACCTGGATGAGACATAAAACCAAGGCTCTTATTATGGTGTCCACTCATCAAAGCTCTTATCATTTTTACTTTCAAAGAACAGAACGTGACAATTTGTTTTCTGTTTTAAACCAGGTCATTAAATAATTTTTCCCTTTCAGTGTAAATACTGTTTTCCTTTGTAGTGGCATTCTGTGCTGTTGGGTGCCCTGACAGCGCTGCACTGCTGTCTTCCCTGATAGAAGTCACAGTAAGAGAAAATAATTTTAGCCAAAACATTTTTGTCAGTGATATCCTGGTTGAAAATCCCTCTACACCTATGTCTCAGCTGCAAATCTGCCTCAAGACTTCCTGTAATCTTTCTGGTGAAGCTCCACTGCACACAAATTAAATCAAGAAAAGCTTTCATTGCTGTGAAATACAACAGAGAGCATTTCCCAGGCTATATGTCCTGATTAAATGCATTTTGCTCCCAAATTTCCAGCGCGATTTAGATTTTCATGTGTTGTTCTGTTGCAAAAATAGTCTTTTCTCAAGACCAGTCTGCATTATGCTTTCAAAACTAAAACAGTGTTGGAGGGAACCCGGAATACCAATACCAGAGATAATTCCATCACAGATCATTCCCCTTTGTTGGAGAAAGCTTGTGTTTTGGCCACCTATAGAGCCATTATCCAGCTCTCTGTGTGAACGTACAGGAAAGCACACGTATGTATTGAGTTGAGAACAACCAGTTTCACTTCACAGCTGTTAGCAGCCTGGTGCTCCTAGCTGAATACCTGATAAATTATTCCGTGTTTATTAATCACCATTTTATAGGCCAGATTTTTAGCCAGTGCACATCTGGACTGCTCTGCTGAGGTTGCTCCTTTGTATTATGCAAACTGCAGTCTGTAGCATATCTCACATTACCTAACATTCTCATATTTATAAATAAATTATTCTAGACAGATAGAAGCATTCTTTAATATTTTGACTGGAAAGCAGAGCACTGTCTTCTTTTGAAATGTGTGTGTTAGAATGACGGGGACATAGGACAGATAGTGAGCAAAGATATACAATGGGATTTTATTTTCTTGCATCCATGCATAACTGATCCAAAGATTTTAGAGTATAGAATGTAAAGTGCTGCTCAGCACTGGCAAAAGCACCAGGTGTTACCTGATGAAAAGAAATTGATTCAGAGTTGCAGAAACAAGACATTTCAAATGTCTTTAGGCTTTCTTCTGTAAAATCAAACACTTCTCATAGAATACTGAGGTTACCAAATTCACAGAACATCTCGTTGAACAATATGTTTCTGAACCAAAAGGCCACAGTGCTCAGTCTGAGGTCACAAATAGCTGTAACACCCAGCACACCCCATACAAGAATGAGCCAGTCACCTTATATGAGTCAGTTGTGAGTGACCTTGCTTGTCACTTTAGATAATTTTCACAAACAGACCAGTCAGGACCTATGGATCCAATTGTTAGTTGAGCAGAGTTTGCAAACCAGGACTTGATGGGCCAGATTGGCCAGCCCCTTATGTCTCCCATGTGCTGACAAAACTCCACTAACACTGCTGGTTGTACATGGAGGTACTTGGAGGGGCTGCCAGGCTCCCTGCTTCACATCAGATTCCCACCAAAAGGGATTCAATAGGAATCTTAAGCAACAGGACTGACTGTGCACCAAGCAAAAGCAAAGGAAGAAAAAATAACATAGCTGTTAATTGTTTTGATTTTAAAATGCACCTCATTACATGCAAATTTAGTTGTGGTTCTTTTTTTTTCCAGAGTACTCAACTTTTGAGTAAATCACACTGCTCCTGCCACTCACAGTGCTGTCAAATTACTTGTCAAAATCAACGTGGCCAGGTGGGCCCATTTCCAGTGCAGGCTACATTACCTGCCACTTTTGGATGTGTGTTTGTCCACCTGCATTAGAAAAGGGATATGAGAGCATTTCTGGGCTTTCCACCAGGCCAGTGATTTGTTAGTGTTCTAGCCATGCCAGTGCATGCTGAAGTGTTTTGTCCCTTTGAAACAAACCTTGTCATCATCAGAGAACCTATACGTTCCATCAATCTGAAATGATGCTTAATGATCTGCTACAAAATCCCTTTGGTTACAAACCAAACATTGTGCTGCTTTGCAGGAGAATGTAAGTGGTGTGAACAGTCACCTCCACAGCTCCTGTTCCCAGTTGCTCTCCAGCTTTGGCAAGGGCAGTGATACAAATTCCTTCATGTTCCCATTTGCAGGGTGATAACAGCACTAATGACAGCAGTGTTGACAAGGCGGGGTCATTTATCAGTCTCCTGCCTGACCTTTCTGGGAGCTCAGCTGCAGATGACGCACCAGGTGTCACAGGGTGCTGTCGCCTGCCCCAGGGGGTTGCCAGCTCCAGACCCCTGCAGCCTCTGTGACGCTCTCCAGAGAAGCAGAGCTCTTTCCATACATCAGGCACAACATTGCAGGTTGGTCATGGGTCACACAAGTGTGACGCACAGTGCTAAAATCCCTGAAGCTGTGCCTCCAGTGTCATCGCAGCCTCCTCAAGTTTCACCTGGTCTTCTCTTTCTTGGGGTGGGAAGTCCTCCTTCCATGAACAGCAGCAAGAAACTAAGCCCCCTCCTGTTGCTGTGTACATGATGAGTGCCTTGCAGAACAAAGGGATGTGCTCCAAAAACAGCCTGCAGGGATGTAGTATAAATTAAAGCAACATAACAAAAAAATGCAGATAGAGCTACTAGTACAATCGGCATTACTTTCTTCTTCTGTTGAAAAAAATCCTGCTTTTCATCTGTTTATCATGTTGTCAGATGCGTGAAGGGGGAAGTTTTCCAAACCAGGTGTCTCTCTTTGGCTGAATCTTTTATTTAATTATTTTGCAGAGTTTCAGCGAAGTGCCTCAGCCATTTCCTGGAATGAGACTGGGGGCAGGGGAAGGAGAGGGAAATGTTGTCAAGGCAACAGTAATCCCATTATTTTCTAACTTCTGAGTGCCTGCGTAGGCAACCTTTATCTTCTTTCTGAGCCGTTTTTGTACATAATAATAACAGCGACAATTATTCTCATCAGCTTTAAGAAAAATGTAGGAGGAATAGCGAAGGGACAGTAAGACATGGTTTTGCAAACAAAACAAACTGGTACCTTCGTACTGCTGATTGCTGGATATCCTGCTGCTCTGTTGAAAAAAGACTTTCAGGGCCCAACTGCTCTGCTTGCAGTGTCCTTCTAAATTGCCCTCCATCCGGACAAGATCAAGAAGCTCATTTCCTCATTTTGAAGTGCAACTGCCAGTCTCCACGCGCTCTGGTATTGAAATTGTTGGGCATATGTTAGCGTGCAGCAATCATTTCCCTCCAGATTTTACGGCTCATTGTCATTTTTCACACAACAAAATGTTTTAATGAGGAGGAAGGCTCTGCTTTATGTTTTGGGGAAGGTCCCTGGGGAGAGAACTGTAATTTCTGCATGATGGCGGAGACTTTTAAATCATATTGCATCAGTTATGATTTGTCAGATAAAATGAAGCACAAACTAAGCCTACAGCACATTCGTAAACCTCACAAAATAAAAGAAAAAAATAGAAAAAGAAAAAACTACCAGCCTTCCAGCAGTCCTGCTGCCTTTACATACTTTCCTTTTCTTCCTCTAGAGCAAGTGAAAATAGTCCAAAAAATTATTTTTCCAATGGAAAAAAATACAGTTCTATCAGTATTGGGTTTCAGGGTATAGAGGAATCTCTGGGAATCGCGGATTGTTTTAGGAAAAAAAGCACAGTGGAATGTGAAAGTCATTACTTGAGCAGATCATTTTGCCTTTTTATTCAAAAAACATTTTGTTTCCAAATTTATTTTGTGAATTTACATTTTTCTATTGCTTTCTTTCAAGCCTTTTCTGATATTTTCAATGCTGTTGCTCTATGTTTTTATATTTTTGTACTATAAAATAAGGAGGCACCATTTCCTAGCAAAGAGATCACTGGGCTACAACTAATGATGCCTAAATTCTACTGAGGACTTTGCCACTACACTTCTGGCCTGTGTGGTACATCATTTTATTTTTGTTTTTCTGTTTCCCAGCCCATTAAATGGGGATGATAGGTGATCTCGCTGATTAAGCATGTTGATATCTAGAATAAAAGGCACTGGGGAAAAGCTGCGTTTCATCATTTGTATGCTAAATATAAAATATATTACATAACATGATAGCTATGTGTAAGAAGTCTAAAAGGAGTAAAGGACATGAGAAAAGATCAAACATTATAGGAGATGTTAGCAATATTGATTTTGTCTTTATTCAGGTGGAAAGGTCACCAAATGTAAGAGGATTTTTTTCATGGAAAAGAAGATTTCCTCTTCTGTTTGGCACCACCAACCAGGACTTGTGCCCATCATTTGCCACAGGTATCATCCTGCTGTACTATCTCCCATATCATCAGAGCTTGCCACACTTCTAGAGGAAGCTGAGCTCATGTTTCTTTTTCAGGTATGCTCTGACAAGCCATGCAGCTTTGTACCTAGCTGGTACATGCGTAGGTACTGAATCCCATCCAGCACTGTACGCTAATTAAGTAAATGCACTTTGAGAACAGGTGTGACATTTAAAAAGTCCCTGCAAAACCTCTTTCAGCAAAACATCAAGCAAAACATTAGCAGCACTGTGAAGAATTTCTCAGAATATGAGATTATTTTACTTCTGCAACAACAGCAACAAAAATAAACGCAAGGCAGGAAGAGGAAAACATACTTGTTAAATAACAGCCAAATCAGTCGGTGTAAAAATCTGATGAGAAGTTATTGACTGCAAAGGAGTATACGTGTGCATACACCACATCACTGCCACGGAGACACAGGATGTTGTTAGTACAATGAGAACCTTTGCTCAGCTGTCATTAAACCGCAGGCTGTACTCACTCTTGGTCTGTTTGACTAATTCTCAGATACATTTCACAAAATCAGCTGTTCTGCTGGATAAGTTACACCAACTGCTCTCCCCCTGACAGGATGAGATGAGTTGCTTCTTGTTGATACTGAAGAAACCAGGCTGCACGTGCCATCTAATCCTCCCCACGCTCTCAAAAACAAAACACTGTGGTGGTGCATAGAGAACCTGGGCACCACACCAGTAAATGCTTAGATATGTCCTCAGTGACACTCCAGATCCTCCCACTTTGACCTATTGCAGGGTTTAATCCCACCTGCTATTAAATAAGCAGCAGGATTCCCATTGAAAAGAAGCTAAGTTCTCTTGTCATTGCAGGAGCAGGAGTATGCTTGGAGAAGTACTTTTTTTTTTTTCCCTCACTAATCCTGCTTTAAACAAACCCCGTGTTCCAAATTGCAATAATAATCAACTACATCACCCTCCCATAAGGCAGATGAAGTGGTCTAGGCAAGGGTCAGCACCGTTCATGCAGCTCTAACTTGAGCTGTTCAGAGCTTCCTCATTGCTGGGCTTGGAGAACAAATGTGAACGTTGTTTATCTGTCATTTTAATTACTGCCATAGCACTGGCATGGTGGAGAACTGTGAAGCAGAAGCTGGTAGCTGTATTTCCTGCAGTACTCCTCTCTTCAAAGGCCAATGAAGTAAAATACATGATACATTTCCAGCTCTTCCGCAGGCATCTCCCAAGTTATATAAGAAAAAAGGCTCTTTGCCAAGAGTTACGAAAGTCTTTTTTATGACCGCATACATGTATTCACATATGTACTATGAAATTACTGAGAAATCAGACACAGAAAAGCAATTTTTTTCAAAATTAGTAGCCAGAATTAGAAATAGACAATAGATGTCCTTACTCAGAACCTTCCTTTGAACATCAGGACACAGTTCAAGCAAGAAACACTGGTAGATTTAGCAAAATCCCAGACACATTACTGAGCTCTGAGGGGATGGGTTCTTTGCAAACTCTCAGCAGTTCCCTTGTCTGGTAGGCATCTGCAACACGCTGAAATACCTAGTGCTGCTCTGTTCTCACCTAAGCAATGTAGCTGACCTTTCCATATCAGTTCTTGTGCAATGTGTGTAGCATGATAGCTTTAACCAGGCAAGACAAATAAAAGCCAACATAACGTGGTTGCAGTCACGTTATCTGTCTGGGAGGCTTTCTCTATTGCTTCCTTAGCTTAACAGTGAATGAATGGCACTTTTGCAGATTTAACCTTTGCTTTATGTTACTTCTCCTTTCTCCGAGTCACGAGGATTTCATTCTCTGTTCTTCAGCTCACCTGCAAAAAGTACCATTTCCTTCTTCAGCCCCAAAACACGCACACACAGTGTAGAGACGGAAGAAACACTGCTATCATTTCCCCTTGGCCGATGCGAAGAGATCACGCAGCTAAAGGCAGCAGTGTCTGTGCCATGTTTACATTCCTGCTGAGCAGGTACAGACAGGGCACAGACCCAGATGTGCCAACTGGGGCACTGCTGTGCTCACACAAAAAATCAAGACATTGAAGTCCTGCCAAAGAGAAACTCAGGGGTCTTTTTGTAGCGTCCAGGGCAGGGATTAACACTCGCAATTGTGCGCAGTTTTTAATTTCCTTGGGGTGACATTTCTGATGCCATAAAGGCATAATTCTGTGGTTCATTTTGTTTCTACTTACCCAGCATATACCTCTCATAAAAAAGAGCAATAGATTATTATCTGACTTGCTCTTTTTTTACAGACAGCATTTTGCCAGGGTCGCTTTGTCCATTCTAAAGATGTTTTCAAAACACTACTCAAAAAGGGCTTTTATTCCAGTTTTAAAAGATGAACTCCTCTTTTCATGTTATTTCTATGAATGTCCAACATGACTCAAATTTTTCACATGCAATTCCTGAATATGAGTTTCTCCTCTTTTGCATATCTGAACACAACACAATTGTGTTAGGAGAATTAATGCAAGGGCGTTCATAAAGTCTGCCCTCTGAAATATTGCTCACACTGGATGTAATTGAAATGCCCAAATAATAATACATTTTTTAAAATAGGAACAACAATCCCCTTTCTAGGGATGCTTTATGATGCTGACTGCTTAAATAGTCTCACCAAGGGGGCTGCACATACAAAAGGTTTCAGAAGAGCTTGGATTCTGTTCCACCCTGATCACAGAGTGAGGGGAAATCTTTCTATAAGGAAATTTTCCTATTCATAAAATAAGATACATCTACAGCATAATTTGTGGAGGGGTATGAAAGGCACTGGCAAAAAGAGTTTCCTTAAAATTTAGATTTTGTTAGAAATCATTTGTTGGCTAGGAATCATTTCTCTTTCCCTCCACCACAAATAGCTGAGTCAGCAAACAAGATGATTCTTTGCATCATGAGGACAACATATTTGCCCCCATATAAGTTTCCTTTGGCTTTTTTTTTTTTTTTTTTTTTTTTTTTTTAATAGACACAGCTCATGGAAAGCGAAGTAGACCAAAACCACTACATTTTATGTGTAGGCACAATTATTTGGATAAGACAGGCATTACCATCCTTTCAGCAATGCCAGTGGTATAGCTAAACAGAATCTTGCTCTGCATCAACACAGTCAGCACCAAGGGTGCAAAGGTGGAGAAATGAGCAGGATTTTCTAAGCCAAGGAGGTGGCTTCCACCCAAGCCCCCTGTCCAAAGCTCCTCATCTCTTCCCTGGCCACATACACCTGACCTCCCTACCCACAAGCATGCACTGTGCTGAAGGAGCAAACTACCTACAACTACCTACAAACTTTATTTTAGTGTTAGTCCTATGAATTGCCACTCAGTGCTGACAGCTCAACTCCCTTGGTAAATTTTGCACCGTTTGAGTTTCATTGATCCTAGCAAGGAGGGACAGAAACATTATTACTAAATTGTCAGTGGCCCACATTCTAGTCTCTGGCTCAAACTTCTAGAATTTATGTGGGAAAAATCAGAGGGACGCAATTTTTAAACTTGTAGCAGCTTCCAGTGAAACCAACAGTGGTTGCACTGCGAGTTAACCACGGTGTCTTCATTATGGCTTCTGCTGTTAGACCTTCACATCTAAGTGGGGTTATTATAACAAACTTCATTGAAGCTGAAAGCTTCATACAAGTGGAGAAATGATACCTGAACCTGGGTGAGTTGAAGTAACTTCCTTAGGTCATGCATAAAATCTGGAAATGAGCTCAGATCTAGTAAGCCATGGTCCTGTATCTGTGCCCACACAGATGATGGCCATGAGTTGTTCTACAGAATGACAAAACTGAAGAGGAAAAGCCGCTTCCCATCAACAGCAAAACCCAAGCTTAAAACACAAACTAAAGCTTAGTGCTGCAAAATCCCTTCATGCGCCATGCAGGAAGATCAC